CCCGGCGCCCCATCCCCCCCGCCTCTGCAGCCAAAAAAAAGGGGGGGGGGGAGGAGGGACTAAGGCAGGAGGATACGCGCGAGCCCTGCTCAGGCCATGGAGCCAGCAGGGTACACCTCCCTCTTGCAAGGCGCTGTGAAGGGTGAGGGGAGAGGAGCCCCCTGGCACTTGACTTCAGGAAGGTTCCCTCCGGAGGGCACTTCTGCCCTCAAGGCTTTGTGATGGCAGGAGAAGGGTGCAGCGAGGGTAAGAACCAGGCAGCTACTGTGTGCCCCGGGGTGTGCGCTGGGATTGCCAACGTTCCCCACCTGCACTTGGATTTCTGGACACGGAACCAACACCCAAGGGAACAGAACGCCAGCTGCAGACTAGGCCTGCGTCAGTGTTTTATTTCCCTCCTTGGTTTGCTTTGTGTTCCTAATTCTTCTCGGCCATCAGAACGAGACAATTGTCAAGGGGAAGACACTTCATAGTAGATTATTAGCCTTGGCCCAAAAACCAGGGGTGCTGAGTTCCAATCCTTCCAAAGGGCAGGCCTCCTCTTCAGTCCTCCTGCCCCCCGTGGGACGACCCACTGGCTGGAGGGGAATTGGGGAAGGGGCTTAGGATTCCATCGGATAGGTGGGGACATCTGAAGAGGCACTGGGAGAGACCCTGGGCCTCCAGCCTCCCAGCACCCCGCCTCCCTCTTACCTGTGATCTCCGCCTGAGGACCCCGGCACCCCACCCAGGGCTTCACCCCAGAGCCCTGTGCCTCCCCCACAGATGAGGAGAATGCCTCGCAGGCAGGGCCAGGAATTCAGGGTGCCTGGACGGCCTCCTTCCCGGGGGGCTCCTCCTGGCAGTGGCAATGCCAGGTCTCTCCTCCCTGGGGCACCTGGGACTCTGCCCCTCCTCCACCAGGAGGCCAGGTGCCCTCCTGGGGCTGCACATCCCATCAAGGGAACAAGAGCGTGGTCCCACGGCCCTCACCACACTCACCTGAGCCGTTCTCTGGGTTTGGGGTCCGGCTTCACATCTGAGGCCTGCAGGGAGCTCACCTTGATGGGGGCTCACAGGCTCCCCAGCTTCCCACCGGCCTCTGACAGCCTCTGGCCTGTCTCCTGATCGCGCCCTCCCATCATGCGGGGGCTTAGGGCTCCCCCTGCCCCAGCCCACCTCACTAAGAGCTAAGAGGCTTTGGCCCAGGAGGGAGAGGGGCCGGTGGGTGTGAGCGCAGGGCCAACCAGCCTCTGCTATGGGCCCCGTCATCCTGTGCTCCAGCCAGGGAGGGATAAGGAGACCCCTTCCTGCAGGACACAGTCCTGCCCCGGGCCCTAGTCTGGTGCTGGGGGTGCAGCCCTGACCTGGACACCCCGCCAGCCCCAATCTCCTGGGTTTTGTCTGCCCCGCTCCCAGGCTGCATTCCAGGAGGGGCTCCTGCTCCCCCTGGATAAGGCTAATCCAGGCCTGAGAGCCTGGGAACACGGGGTGGCGGTGGTGGCGTGGCCAGAACAAAGGGCGCTGTGTCCCAGCGAGGGTGACACTGGTGGTCCCCAACCTCAGTCACCACCACCATTTCCAGAGAACCCAGAGGCAGAAATAAGACGGGGGGGGACCCTAAAGACTTATACAGAATGAGGGCCAGGGCGGGCAGGGGGTGACGGGGCCTCCCCCACTCCAGCCCCAGCCCCCTGCCCTGTCCCCCAAATCAGACACCACTGCTGTGCTGCCGTGTGCACTGTCTTTATTTCTCATTGCTTACAAAAGTTGGGGGGCACGTGTGCGAGTGTGCAAGGGGCTCCACCCCACCAGAGCAGAGGAGAAGGAAAGGGTTGGGGGGCAAGAGGCAGGCCCTGAGGGAGAGTCCTGGGGTCCGGAAGGGAGGACACTGACCCCAGTCCCGCTGGCTTTACCATGAGGGCCGGGGCCGGTGCTCTCGCAGCCATATGGGCTCAAGGGGTGGGCTGGGGAATGGCGGGCACCCCCCCGGGCAGGGGCCCCGCCTCTCCG